GGGGTCAAACTGAAATGTTATTTTTAATGTTTTTTATTCGCTAACGTACATTTTTCATAGAAGAAAATGAACACCCAAGTTTTTGTTTGTTGCGGATAATTAATGTGTAAATGATATTCAATTGTTGAATTATTGAAACTTGAGATCCAATTGTATTTGATGTAATTTCAGATGCCGGCGTTTGCTATATTGTTTCATTTGATTTATTTGAATAATATTAAGTTTATTATCTTGTTTTGAAAAAAAAAATATTTGAAACAAATTTTAATTGTTGTGTGCGTCTACCTTATGTTTAAAATCAGTAATATGATATAATAGAAAATTAGAAACGTGATATTCGGGTCGATTATGAGGCTAGGAAAAGAAGGCAAAAATTATATTTAAATTTATTGTTAAATTAAATAAAATATATACTTTTTAATAAAATAAATTTATTAAAACGTATAACACTTTAGACCTCAATCAAAAGTTAATATTTTTCTTTCTATTATATAATTTTTACGCATATCCTAAAGTGGACAAAAGTAAAATTGTAGGTTTCTTGTAGGATCTTTTCACTATTTTGAGATTGACAGATATTAACGTAATATGTATAATATTTTAGTCATGTTAGTGTTGTGGCAAAGTGCTTAAGCCAATGAGTTTTGGGTGATCCTCGACGCGGCTTTTGTATTTTTCTGAATGTGTTAATGCGCGTTATATTAGGAGAGCGGGAGGCTGTTTCCAAAATACTATTTCGAAAATAAATCAAAATTTTTGAAATGACTTTATATGCATGTTTTTACATAATATTGCATATTAATTTGCACTCTTATAATATCAGTTTAGTATTTATGAAATGAAATTGTTAAAAGAATTAGTGAGTGCGCAACAATTTTTTAATTAGAAAGGGGAGGCGGTTGGAAATCCCTGGATAAACCAATTTGGTACATTCACATATTTTTTAATAACTTTTTTTGACATTGTTCAAATTGAAAATCATCAAATTTTAAAATTAAAAATTTTAATTTCAGGCATAAAAATACGATAAACTATTGAAACAATTATAAAATATTTCTTTGGATCGTATGCATGAAATATGAAAGCACGTATAACTAGTTGAAGGTGGCATTTAGCCTTAAGGCAAGATGCGTGAACTTCCTGAAATGTGTAAAATTGATTTAATCAATCGAAATTGTCAATACTCGTCATCAAGATACATCGAATAGCTTTTAAATTTTTGAAATCGGTCCAGCCCTTTTTGAGAAAACGTCGATTTACGGCAAAAAATCTGTTCACACACAAATACTTTTTCCAAATTTGGTCTCATTCGATTCAGATTGGCTTGAAATGTCGAGAAAACATAAAATTAGCGAATCGGATTTTTTTATAAAAACAAACTTCTCCTTCGGGAAGTTAATAAATATTATATTAAATTGTCAGCTAAGATGTTAAATCAGAATAACGTTAACTTCTACGTTCTAACGTTCAACAGTTAACTTCAAAAAAAAAAAAAAAAAAAAGGGATGTTTTGCAGTAAATGCGAGGCATAAGAAGGGGTTTTAATTTTTATAAAATGTATTATAATTAAAATAAACCAGAGAACAGTTTTTTCTGGATATCTCACATGATACTAAACTATAGGCAACTAAACAATCAGAATCTTAAGTCCAGTGAGCTGCTGGGCTAGAACTTCTTCTTACCTATATTTTTGAATGATGACCACCCATATTTGATTATGCCTATTTTCGAATTTATCTAATAGGGCTGATATATTATTATATTATATATTATTTATGCCTAGAATGGTATTGTACTTAAGTTTTTTTTCCGTCTTTCGTCATTGTATACTTTGTGATATCAACAAATGCTGTTTTAGAAAATATAAAACTCGAGTTTAGTAACAAAATAGTCTTTAGTTTTTCAAAGTTTCCATAACAAAAATACCTAGGGTTAATTTGATGCAACAATGGCCACAAAGTGCCATTTCACTTGGAAACATATTTAAAACCTATATTTCCTAATGAAAATTGATATTGCTACTGCTTGCTATTGGATTAGCGATATCAATTTATAGATGTATCTAGCTCAATGTAAATCATGTAAATAAAATGACTGTTTTTTTAGTGGAAGTTTCATGGTCTTAGCCGGTTTCGTTTGCAATTCGACCGATGTGATGGCAAATGGTTTAACCGACGGCTGCTACGGATGCTTCTACCGGGCTGTCACAAATGATATCGGGCCGTTGCAAATTATAGCGATCTCTCAATGCGCTGTCACTTATTTTTCCGGAACGGTTTACGAGGATTGTGCTACATCTTTAACGGTAAATAGATATACCATGAAATATCAGTAATTATAAGACTGCTCTTAACTATCAATCAACTTTAAAAGGTTGAATTGCTTTCATTTTTAATGCCATGTTCAAATCTATGATATGCTGTTGTATTGTAGATGCACTAGAGCGTATCATTGCACACTTAGTAGTATAAAATGTTTGTTTTGACTTTTATGTTTTTTGTAATAATTTGATGATCTTTAAAGTCACTTTGCAATTATCCCACATCGAACAGTAGACAATCTATTAACCAGTTAACTGTAATTGACAAATATACTCGTGGCAGAATTTTGTGAGCATATTCGTCATGCATATAAAAGAGTAGTGACTATTTGATATTTAAATTGAAATTTCTGAAAAAATTTAATAGTTATAATTAAGTAGGATTTTACCTTAAGGCAACATGATCTTCCCGAAGTGTGAAAATAATATACAGTAATACCCCATTTAACGTTCCATCAAAGTAGAGGGCAATGCAAAACAGCGCTAAACGCGGCTAACTTTACATGGAATTATTGAGGTTAGGGGAATTATTGGGGTTAGGAAATTGGTTAGGTTTTGAATTTAAAAAGTGTGTTTTTTAAATAAAAACAAAACCAAACTATTTTTTTCTTAAAGCCCAAACTAATAATACATTATTATTTTTTGCAAAAATGAAAACAAAATATAAATAACAAAATGAATATTCTTGAAAAAAAAAAACTAGTTGGTATTGGTATTTAGTCTTGAGGCAAGTTACATGAACTTCCCGATGTGTGTAAATATAATCAACTTAATCAATAAGAAATAAATTAATTTCTTAAGTGGATTTATTACACATAATTGAAAACGAACGAACACGTTAACTCGTAGAAATTTCAAAAAGCAACTTTTCAAAAATCAACAATTATTATATTTGAACCAGTTTCCATAGGATTTTAATGGTTTAGTATGTTTATTAACACCAAGTACTATATTGTTATACCAAGTAAATCGTCTAATTTTAATTTTAGCTAACGTCAAAAAAACTACTCATTTTCTAAAACTTTGATGAATTTTTAAAATTAAACTACTTGTCGTAAGGCCGTAATATTACAGTAAGTTCTATAAGATACCATGATATATTAATAAAAAATTCCATAAAAATCGGTTTAAATTTTTTTTTCAACAGTTAATTACAAGAAAATCCTTTTTTTCAAATTACAAAGAAACGGCTTGGCATATCGTCTCACAAAACTGACCAATGATAGTCTCATCGAAATACATCAAATGACTTTTAAAATTCTGAAATCGGTTCATGCGTTTTTGAGGAAACGTCGATGAAGGATCTAATTTTGACAAATTCCAAAAAAACGATACCAATTTTTGCAAACTTTGACGAATTTTCAAAGTTAAACCAATTGTCGTAGGGCCGTAATATTTTAGTATGATCTAGAAGACTATCTACCGTCAAAAAAATAATAATAAAAATCGTTGAAATTTTTTTTTTAACATTTTATTACAAGAAAACGGTTTTTGAATTTTCATAATCGGTTCAGTATTGCGGGCTAAAACGTGGACAAATTTTTTTTCACTTTTCTGCTATTTATAAAGAAGCGTCTCGGCCGATCGTCTCACAAATGATAGTCCTCGTCGAGATACATCGAATGGTTTTTAATTTTTTGAAATTGGCCCAGCCGTTTTCAAGAAAACGTCGATTTACGGCAAAAAATCTGTTCACACACACACACACACACACACACACATACTTTTTCCAAATTTGGTTTCATTCGATTCAGAATGGCTTGAAACGTCGAAATCGAATTTTTTATTTTTTTTTATTAACTCTTTTATTTACAACTGTCCAGTAAAGGACATTCAGTAAATTTAATGAATTTACAATAGTCCGCCGAGAAGGGACATTGTATACTACATTGTCATGTTGGAAAAAACAACTCAGTGTTTGTTTTTCCTTTCTATATAAAATTCACAATATTTTATTATTGAATAATTACTTATAATCGGATTTTTTGATGAAAACATAAACTTCTCCTTCGGGAAGTTGAGAAAATTCTAAGTCAGTCATATTTAGTTAGCTTATCGCGTTTTCAGTGTTGTGACTATTTGTGACAAAATCATCTAATGTTGTTTGCCTTTTCCTTTTGCGTTGTCCTCATAAAAATTCTTCATAAACGAATAGAACACCTCTAACACCACCCCTTACTTTTAAGTTCTTGTCAAAACTTGAATAATATTCAAAGAATTTATCCATTATTTCAGTTATAGTAGACAAACTCCCTTTTACAAACGCCATCGAATGTTCTTTTTGCTCTGAATCACTGCCGTCAACATTTTTATTTTCTTCTTGTTCAGTATATTTCTTGAGCTCATCAGTAGAAAGACTGCGCTGCTTCCTGAAATATTTCTTCGACATCTTCCTCATTTACCGCTTCAAAACTTGGGTTGAAATAAAAGAGCGCTAAACCGAAACAGCGCTAAACGAAAAGGCGTTAAACGGGGTATTACTGTACATTGATACCCCGCACAAAGTACTGAACCGTTGTAATTTGTAATCAAAAATAGATGTTGCCTGAATTAGTTCAAAGAGTGGGCCCAGGAAATTGTTACCACTGCTCTGAAAATATTCTTGTTGGGGAAAAAGCTCACACTTAAATCATTCTGATTATTGAATAATTCACATTCACATCTTAATGGCATTGAAAAAATGTTAGATGAGGATGGTCAAAAACCGAGGAAGAAAAGACGAGTCAGTAGATATCTAGTGCTTTAGACATTTTAGTCAAACGGAAAAAAGTGCAAGATTTATAAATGTGTACTATTCAAGCAAGACTGAAACTAGGAAGATTAAAAAGAAAATTTTCGTCCACGTTTTAGGCCGCAATATATATCATGGTCTTATAGAACTTACTGAAATATTACGGTCTTACGACAAGTAGATTAATTTAAAAAATTCATCAAAGTTTGAGAAAATGAGTAGTTTTTTAAACTTTTGTTAAAATTAAAATTAGACGATTTACTGGGCATAACGATAGAGTACTTGGTCTTAATAAACATACCTGAAACTGGTTCAATTATAAAAATTATTGATTTTTGAAAATTTGCTTTTAGAACATACTCCGACAAGTTAACGTGTTCGTTCGTTTTCAATTATGTGTAATAAATGCCCTCTTTTAACCACTCATAAATTAATTTATTTTTTATTGATTAAGTCGATTATTCACACATATCAGGAAGTTCATGTAACTTGCCTCAAGGCAAAATACCAATACCAACTAGTTCTAAATGTAAATGTATAATATATCGTTTTTTCTACGACCATATTCCAAACCAAAACGAATTAATTTTACTGCCATGTGTTTCTATAGGTATGTTAAGTAAGTATGTTAAGAATAAAATTGCAATTTGCATTACAGGCAACTATTACAAGTCAACAATCCACGACAACTACAACATATGATTATTGCAATCCCGCTTACTGCGATTTTGTGAGATGTCTGAGAAGAGTCAATTCAAATCAACTGGTAAATATTTTTTAATTTTTCTATATACAAATAATATAAGTTTTAGATCCAGTTAGGCAATTTGATTCTTGATATGTTTGATAAATCATATTTCGCACATTTAATTGAATAGTTTTTTTTTTTGTTTTTTGGCATTTTAAAATTCATGTTGAAATCAATAAGATTATAAATTATAATTACTTCTATTATGATTATTGCATGACTTCTTAATCTTGATCACAGATTGCTTCCTGCTACAATGAAGCTATATTAACAAACACTTTGGATGCTGAAGAAGACAGAATTCGTCTCTTCACAGATATCAGCAGCTGTATTCTTGCCAGGGCCAGGTGCAACTTATACAATCCTATAACGGGTGAATTAAACTCTAACCAAAAAGTGGTTCAGTCTCAAATATTTGGCAAATCTGTGTTATTATCATTTCCTCAACGGAGATATAATTCGTTGCAAATTACACCTCAAGGAGATTTAAGAATAATATCTTTTCCTGCAACCACAACCGCTGCTGACTATTTTTGTGCCGCCTCTAGAAATCTTAATCAATCCACGTGGCCTGATGCTACTTGCTGAAATAGTTAAATATTGATGATAATAGATAGTTATAAGAACAAACTATTTTAGCAAGTTATTAATAATGAAAAAAAATCATGTGTAGTAGAAATGTTTCTAGCCAGCGGATTCATTTACAATAATGGTACCTTTGCACTATACAATTCATTGACCTATATTGCGGGACTCTTCAAAACATAGTTAAATAGTCAACGTGTTTTGTCTACCTAATCCTTTTCTATGTGTACTCCCAATTTTTATAGTTTAATCTTATTTTTGATAAAATATGAAGGTCAAATTTGCACTTGCAATTCGGGGGCGCCCATTAATTCAAGGCGACCTTAATTTTTTTGCAATTAATCTTAGGCGACCTTAATTTTTTTTGCATGATATTCGGGACGGATTAGAATGTTTGTGAGAGCGAGGGGAGGGAGATGTTGGTGAGCTAAAAACTTATATGAACATTTTTTCGGTTCAAATTTTCTAGTTGAAATATATTTAAAGATATATTGGCAATCATAACATTTTTAAAAATCCGGAACAATCCGGGTCAAAACACCTAAAACCGGGACAAATATTGCTTTTAGAAAAAACCGGGACGCAAGGCAGAAAATCGAGACTGTCCCGGCCAATCCGGAACGTATGGTCACCTTAATTAATCACGTGATCATTTTTTAAAGGATTTTTGGACCCTCCTTCCCCTTTTCTGATACATGGTGCTATTCAAAATTACACCCCCATCACCTGCATTTTTTGTTACGAGTAAAAATTGTAATTTTTTTTTGAAAATACTTGGATTTTTTTATTGGTATTTTACAATACCCCTCACTCTTCCACCTAATATTTTGTGATTCTTTTGTCAAACTCCCCCTCCCCCTAAAAACCTCACGTGATTAATGGACGCCCCCTTATCACCTATATAAAAAGTGAGTTTATAGACATATGAATTTAAAATTGGATTTCTGAAAATTTCAATTTTGGCCAAATATTTTTATATAGTACAGTTTATTCAATACATAATTTAAAATAACATTAACCTATGGCGTTTGAAAAAATTTTCTTCGAAAAAGTATTTATGATTTTAAATTTATTTTTAACTATGAATTGCGAAGAACTAATTAAGAAGAGTAAGAAAAATATAAGAATAGTATTTGAATTCAACTAATAAATTTAATAAAAATTTTATTAGATAAGTGATATTGTAACTTTAATAGTTAACTCATAATTTTACTCAACGCGATTCCCAATTGATAAAAAAGAAATAAATAAATGGAAAATTTAAAAAATCTGCGTAAGTAACATATTGTATATTGGACTAGAAGTCAAACATTTAGCAACTGGTTAAGCTAAAAATTAATTTTTGAACTGTTAATAATAAATAGCTCATTCGAATAACTAAGATAAAATCTTTGATATCTTTTAAATTACTTATAAATTTTTACTGGTAATTACAAGAAACAGCACAAACGATCATAGAGCAAAACCGACGTACTCGAGTCATCATTGATTTTTATCAATTGTTTTTGAAAATTGTATTTATATTTTTTGTTTGATTAAGGATTTCTATCTACTATTCTGGTTTAGCGGTAAGAGCTTTTGCCTCGCAACCCAAAGTTCCAGTGACATCTTGATATCAAGCAGTGTTGATATCCTTTTTTACTTGAAAAAAATAGATTTAAAATATATTTTTAAATAAAAATAGTCCTTTAACGATCTTGGTATATCAAAATAAAAAATATATCTTCAATATTCGATAAATTATAATAATAAAACTATATCAAATATCGATAAGCCATTAGGTTACTATTTTGAAATCTATTGCAAAATGCAAGTTGTTGACGAAGCAAAGATGATCCTGACTAAACATGTAATACAAATTTTGAAAGTTTTATATTTTCTCTATATAAAAATAAATATTTAAAATATTTAAACACTCACAATAATCATATCATATATTTGACTAATGTGCTATGAAAATATTTTATATGTAGAACGAAAGTTCAAAAATTTATAAAAATTGAAAAAGCTCAATTTCTCAAACAATAATATAATTTACAACATCCTTAAGTACCTATGAGATGCATACATATAAAACAGCTTTCTATTCATGAACATGTATCATGTTTATTTCAAATCTATTATTAAAATTTACATTATTTACTATGTTATTAAATAATAGTAAAATTGTTTATGAATATATTTTACTATTGCATATTTGAGAAATTAGAAGTTACTGACTTACTAAACAAACATAACGTAATCATCGTGTCCTTTAACCCATGAAGATAACGGTACACATGTTAAATATCATAGAAAGATTATTAAGAAATATGTTTTCATTAGTTGTAGTGCTATAGTTTGTGGTGTAGTGTACTAATCTTGAAATTTCTTATAAATGGTTTGTTTCTATTACATATAATGTGCACATAATATCCAACAATATATATGTTTTTTACTATGCTACTTTCATAATGTGCATCTAAATTATTAGTAGTGCAATTTTGAAAACAGTACTAACAGTTTTAGTATTTTAAGATTTTTACTATCATATTCATATATGCAGTTAAAGGGTAAAAATTTGTGTTAATTCAGATTTAGATACGTACTCATAATATTAAAAATATTATATTATAGAACATATAATAATCGACCCGCTCTAATATATTATATTAGAGCGAGTCGATTTGTATTGGTTAAAAAAAGTCGCTTAGGCACATATGATTTTCGGATACTAGGAATCGAAATAAGATACTTTGTCGAAGAGACCATGCCTCTAAAATAAATTTTGATGTCCATTGACCCAAAAATAAGGTTTAAAATTTGAAAAATTCTATTTTGACCCATTTAGAGTATCCCAATCGGGTTCAAATGTATGACCGACCCTCACTAACTTAGGAAGGCCGATCCACCCATTCGGGTTTATACCCCGGGACCCCCCTGAATGTTTTTTTAAATTTAACCCTTATCTTTGGGTCAATGCACGGGACATCAGAATTCATTTTAGAGGTATGGTTTCTTCAGCAAAGTATCTCATTTTTATCCCTAGTATCCAAAAATCTTATGTGCCTAAGCAACCTTAAAATGGACCCGCCTTAATTATATATATATTGACATGTATTCTATCATCAAAATCGATATGTATTGATATAAAATATTCATATTAAATATTAAAATTATAAAATTTGCTTTTCCTCTATAAATATAAATTTAAATGTCTGTAAAACGCAACATTAAATTATTCGTAGGGCAAATAACGAGGTTCGGTAAAATAATACTCTGATAAAATTCTTTACCATGGTAAAGGCAAGAGCTGCAAAACTTAGAAAAAAATCAATAATGTAATAATTTAAATTATAAAAATTTATATAACGAAAAAGGTTGGCCAGTAATTTTCAACGTGTTTATCATAATATTATAATTTGGACATTTAATTTATTACAATAACCTGACAGAACCAACTGTCTATGTTGTACATCTACGTGTATAAAAATCTCTCTAGATCAGGTTTCAAATTTAAGAAAAAATTTAACGAATTATTTGCAGTGGGTAAATACAATCTAATTTTATTGAAAAAGTCTGTCCTTTCGAAATACATAACACAATTTTAATAATAATAAAATAATAGTAGAAAAAGATGATATTAGAAGAAATAACGTGCTCCAAGAAATAAGAGTACATTATATTGTCATAGTATTCATTAGTACTTTTTATTTAAAAAAATAGTTATTATATTTAGAATTTGCATAATCAATGAATACATTAGGTGTAATTATTTTCAATTTTAAATTATATTTTTAATTTTTAATAATTATAAAATGTCAGACAATGTTATAGGAAAGAGGGGCGGAATGGTTTAATTGAGGATAGAGTACTATCATTAAAAAGTCACAATAATTTATAATATGTATATATGTTGTTTAGGATCAATTTGTTATTGTATATATATATATATATATTCAATGACTTTATTTTTATACTAATGTTTATTTTGACAGCAGCTTGAGGTCATTTAATTGAATTAATCGATAAAATGCCTGCTGTCGCTATAAAAATGTTACGCAACCCATGTATATTCCACTTGCGAAATTCCTTGGGTTTGAGAAAATATTCGAGCGGCATCGACAATGTTGAGAAAACATCGTTATACGATTTTCACGTCAAACATGGAGGAAAAATGGTGCCATTCGCTGGTTACCTGCTGCCTGTCCAGTATGCCGCCGATGGTATTGTCGCCTCCCACCTGCATACCAGAAAGCATGCTTCTTTGTTTGATGTTTCTCATATGTTGCAGACAAACATAACAGGTAATTAAATAATAATTAAAAACTGACTGATAAATACCTGGATATAAATATAAAATTTATTCATTTGAAAATTATTCTGGTTGTTCAAATTTTTAAGCGTTTAACACGTTCTAACCGGCTTTCTAGATGTTCGTTTGAATTTGTTCCATTGAGCTTTGCACATATTGTTAATTAACAATATTGCATTTGTATTTTATTTCTAGCTTAGATAACTAATTTTTATGAACTATGTTAATTTTATATTAAATAAATTATTTTCAACATTGTTAGAAATTTAAAGTCCTGTATTAGTTTCTATTCTAATCTAAGAAATATCACACTAAACATGGTGAACATGGTGAACAAAGATTAAATGGGATTTTTTTAAAACGAAGTATAAAATGAACTCACAATCAATTAAAATGAAAATAACGATGAAAATGAATACGTTTGCACATGGTATATTAATAATAAAATAAAACCATAGATATATGAATTTAATAATATATATTACATGTAAGAATTTGATTCAACTTCTATTAATATTTAATTTTTTATTATCTTAAACATCAAACTTTATTATTATTCGAGTTTTAAAAACTCTAGGGTTTTAAAAAAATAGGGCAGACTAGTCCGAAGGCAGGTCCATAGTATAAGAGCACCACAAAATCAATGATATTCTTCCCCTCCCTTGTTTATTATTCTCATTACCATTTTATTACCACTAATTAATGACCATTAAGCAGTTTATATTCGTTTTTATGATTTTTTTTTTTTGAAACTTCTGCTGCCATGCTTCCTGGTCCTGTACTTCAGCTTTCAGTTCTCTGTATTTTATCTTCTCGCGTAAATCGTCAATCATCTGCATTTTTCTTCTTCCCAATCCTTTCAGTCCTTCTATTTTGCCTTCGACGACATCGTGCAGGAGGCACTCTTTTTGCAGAATGAGTTCGATTCAGTTTCTTTTTCTTTTCAGGATCGTTTTCAGTAGAGTTCTTTCTTCGCTCACTCTTCTCAGGACTTTTTCATGTGCTATCTTGTCAGTCCACTTTTTTTTCTCCATTCGCCTCCAGCACCACATTTTAAAACTATCCAGATAGTTATTGTCGGCTTTTTTCAGAGTCCATGCCTCTGATCCGAGCAGAGCTATGTTCCAGACATAACACTGTATCAATCTCTTCTTCAAGTCGAGACTAAGTTTGCTTGTTAGTAATGTTCTCTTCGCCTTGGCGCTTGCGATCCTTGTCCTGATATCTTTCGTGCAGTATCAGTCTCTGGTCAGAATGCTTCCTAAATATTTGAAATAATCAACGTCTTCCAATTCTCAATTTCTTACTGTTATCTTCAGAAGATCGTCTCGTTTTGATACTCTCATCTTTCGATTTGCCGATGTTGATCTCTTCTGTTCACTTCAACGATTCTGCTCATCATGTTAATAAGGAGTAATATGTTAGTCATTAATATATAATATATTTTATTATTTCAATAAAACTTGTTAACAAATATTGGTTTCACCATTTCATAAGATATTATATACTTCTTGTATCTGTTAATAATAATTTTTCTCTTATAGGAGAAAACTGTACAAAATTCTTCGAATCTTTATGCACTGCCGATGTGGAAGGGTTGCCAAATGGATCTGGTACCTTGACTGTTTTTACCAATGAAAAAGGTGGTATACTCGATGATTTGATTGTGACCAAAGTAAATGAAAGCTGCCTATATGTCGTATCAAACGCAGCTATGAAACATCAAGATATGGATATCATGGTGAAAGGACAGGTCAGTTAGGATACAAATTTTCTAAGATTTTAGTAGTAAAAATATTTTTTGGGCTCGACTTGTATGAGACCTCGGAAGGCTGATTTTGGCTTCTATACTTTGGCCTGCCTACCACATTAATTTAATAATTTAATATAAATTTCTACTTATCGTACTGATACTTGCTTCAATCATACAGAAATCCTACGCCGGAGGAGAACATATCAAGGTACAATTTATGCAACCTACAGAAAGGGCCCTTTTAGCATTGCAAGGGCCCGAGGCAGCAGCAGCTTTGCAGCCCCTGACAGATCTGCCCCTGAAAGATCTGTACTTTATGACTAGTGCTACAGCTAAAGTTGCTGGTATACCTGATTGCAGAATTACGAGATGCGGTTACACAGGTATTTCAATTAATAAAATTATTTAGGGCCAAATTTTAATATACTGCATTGATTAGAGTATTTTATACTTAAGTGTACCCATATGTAAATTTTCTTGTACGACATGAGATACTATTTCTGGAATTTCACTTGTTTGGCATTGTAGTAATTAGACTTGTTTCACGGGAGGTGTTGGTATAATACATACATTTGTTTCAATGTTAGTTTGCTTTTTTATTTTAATTAAGAGAAACACTAGCCAGACATAAATATGGAAATACCATATTGCAAACAATACGGAAGACGCAGATGCTTTTATTATCATTATTATTTTGCTGGATTGTTAAACGTATTATTGATGTTTGGACTATCAGCATTAGCATTTTCTCTTAAATTGATAGGTCATCAGGGTAATATATCATGGAAAGAAAAATAAAATTGACTAATTTGACTAGTTTTATATATTTCGATGATTTTTGTTTTTAGGTGAAGATGGTGTAGAAATTTCAATACCAGCTGATAAAGCAAGTGATGTTGCAGAAGCTTTACTCAAGTCGACAACGGGGCATGTTAAATTAGCTGGATTGGGAGCCAGAGATTCTCTAAGGTACTTTGCATAATAAATTTAAATTGAGCATATAAATGGATGTTAAATTTCTAACTGACATCCCCTTTGAGACTTTTACTTCAAAAGGGGTATAATCAGGGCTGGTCCAGGGGAGCATGCCAATTTTTTATAGCGCCCCCCCCCTATTATTTTAATTTAATTTTTCATTATTCAAAACATCAAAAATTGCATCGTAAACTTCGAATTGATATCCTAAGAGCCATAGTGTATGTATTCATCTATACTTTCCCATCGTGTCAGATTGTTGTTTTGAAGTTAAATTTAAAAAATATTGTCCAAGATTAGTCAAGGATTAAAAAAAAATCTTGGATGATATTGAAAAAACGTTATTATAAATTTCATATCCGAATCTTATTATGGCGCCCCCTAAGGCGTGCGTCCGCATTATTTGCATGCATCGCATTCAAATGAGTAAATTTCTGAGTATAGTATACATAAAAAGTCATTCCATATTCTTGCTGTTCGTAAAATCTTTCATTCTTCTTTCAAATAAATAGTTATAGCAAGACGTAATACAACTAAGACAATAGATTTATGAATTAGAATCGAGATATTCTGGAATTTGTGTAAGTACGTGAGTGGCCTTCAGATGCCGAGAAGATTAAGTTTTACCACAAGATTTTAAATTTAAATTCTTTCTTTTATGCAACCTGATATCAAGCAGTGTTTCCAAGTAAAAATTATTTTTCCAGATATTGCTGAAAAACGTTAAATATCTAAACATATATAAGATGTGTGACAATTGTGTCGCCTTCTAAAAGAAATCAATAAAAATAATAATCTTCAGATTGCAGAAATTCAAATTCTGATAGTTGGAAAAATATATACATATATGTCCAAAAATTTCAAGTTCTTTAATGTCTTTAATGACAAGAATTTTATTCCTAAGTGCATTTACAAACTCTTTAGTAATCCATTTCGGAGGGACCTAAAATTATATGCGACATTTTTTCTATTTATGTATTTATCTGTTTTTTATATTATCAGAACCTATCTGCGACATCGCTAGATGACACTTTCTATTTATGAATAGATGATAAATGTAATAAATTATGAATATCTAAAAGAATGATAGAATCATGCGTGTCAGATTTCATTTTCTAAGAATAATTTTGAATGAATTGTTCTTTTTCAAGGAAAAGTGAGCACGCTTCGTGCAAAAGTCTAATAAAATTTTGGCAAAATCTTTCTGGATAATAAAATATTGAATTTGATGTTTTGTTTGATGCAAGGTAATAAATAGTAGGATTAGTAGGTACAATTTACCTTCGATATAGGTATTCATAATTATCATCTATCAGATACACAATACTTTATTACACTTCTGCAGCTTCTTGCTGATGAGGATTAATAAGCTTCCAAAATCATCCCAAAAAAGAGATATTTTTTTAGATGTACATCGCTAGGTGAATCAAAACAATTAATTTTAAATTTAAATTGTTGAGATACTTCTAATATTTATATATATATATATTATAATCAGTCATAAACTTTTGCAGTTACTAATGTACTTTTTCTCTACGACTCGAGCGTGAAAATATTGACTATTAAATAACAAAAACAGGTTTTATTTAATAAATAATTTCTATATACGAGTAATATAATCAATTAAACGACATTCAATTAATTATATTTTTTTCAATCGTGATTAAAATGTAATTATGGCTTCAGATAAATCTCATCGATCAATCAAAGAATCTTATTGATTATAAATCAAAAACTCGATTATAAAATTTTTTGCAGTTGAATATAAACCTAATTAACTAAGTTTTTACATAGTGGGTGCTATTGTTTATTAAATGAACAAAAGTACCTAATTACAGATAATTCAAAACTACAGAAATTGAACAAATATATAATTATATGTAGCAATTGTAAGATATAATTATAAGATTGTTTAATTTTTGCAGTTTATCATGCTAAATAGCCTAAATATGATGTTAAATATTAAATACTTTATCAAGATACAAATCTATTTTTGTAAGTCAACCTTTTTTAAGCTTTACTGACTAATAAAAATACCTTTAATTCCATTATTTGTTATATAAAACCTCACAATCTATATATATACTGACTAATAAAAATACCTTTAATTCCATTATTTGTTATATAAAACCTCACAATCTATATATATATATATATATATATATATATATATATATTAACAAAGTCTAATAATCGGGCATAACATCAATAAAAAACATGAATTTCTTTCAAAAATTTATTTTTAATCCATACGTTTCGGCTAAAATCCTAGCCTTCATTCAGTGGAAAAATTAGTTGATCTTAGTGTTAATTTGGAAAACTTTAATAATCCATGGTATTAGGATATGGTAATGCACTACACTATGTATTATAAACATTAACTTGAAATTACACAATATTTTCACAAAATACTGATTTGAAAAAATCACAAATGGATAGTGTGTTATTCGTAGACTGGTTGAAGAGGTAATGTGTACATCTTCAACCAGTCTACGAATAACACACTATCCATTTGTGATTTTTTCAAATCAGTATTTTGTGAAAATATTGTGTAATTTCAAGTTAATGTTTATAATACATAGTGTAGTGCATTACCATATCCTAATACCATGGATTATTAAAGTTTTCCAAATTAACACTAAGATCAACTAATTTTTCCACTGTATGAAGGCTAGGATTATAGCCGAAACGTATGGATTTAAAATAAATTTTTGAAAGAAATTCATGTTTTTTATTGATGTTATGCCCGATTATTAGACTTTGTTAATACATATGTCAACATCAAATTCAGAATCATACAAAATATATATATATATATATATATATATTTTCACTTTTGAGCCTGATATAAAATTTTCTTCAATTTTCTTCAGAATTAACTTGAAAAAAATTGCTACTTGTACCAGGTAGTCAAAAAGTCTGTTTTCATAATTTCTGCTAATTTTCGTGAAAATTATACAAGTAAAATGTTTTTTGAACTATACAAATCGGACGCTCCGTGCTCTTAAAAACTGAGTTACCGTTTTTGGCACTTTTTGCCCCGTATCTCCGGAACGGCTAGAATGTTTTTTGAATTATTCAAATTGCTTCATCCGTGTTCCCGAAATCGTCGACGAAAATTTGTATCCGAACACACACACATGCACGCACACACACGCACACATACATCAATTTTCTCCAAGGTATGCCAACATATTCAGAAACCTCTGAAACGTAAAAGATATATAAAAATTTTCATTTTCGATTTTTTTGCGATTACTTACCCTATGGAAAATTAATTATAAATAAATCAATTTATCATCTCCAGAACTTTAACAATCGTCATTTCATTTCGAATCAAATTCCAAAAAAAAAAAATAGTTGCCAAATTTACCCAAAATTGAAAAAGTGCTCCCGCATAGTCACAGTCTAAACGCATTTGCAAATAATTCTGTGCGACATTTTCACTTATACTGTGCTCAGCTTGGCGGCATTTTCACATTTTTCAATAATTTTCACAAAATTGGAAAAGTGCTCCAGTACACAAACAGTCTAAACGCACTTGGGTAAACATTTGTACCAGAGTGGCGCTTAGACTGTTCTTAGCTTGGGTGATTTTTTGAATTTTTAATCCAAAATTACAAAAAAATTTTTTTTGAAAAAAAAAATTAGAAACAAAAATTTTTTTTTTCCAAAATCAATTATTTTGTTGAAAAAAGCAGAAAGTTCTTTGAATCATTTAAATCGGACGCTTAGTTCTCTCAAAAACAGCAATTTTTTTTAAATTTAGCTCTGTATCTCCGAAACCTCTGGGCCTACCTTTGCCAAAAACTAATCAGCACATCTCCCTATCAATAGGAATCGAATGTTTTTTAAACCATTCAAATCAGTTGATCCGTTCTCTTAAAAACTCGCTTTCTATTTTTTGCACTCTTTGCTCCATATCTCCGTAACGGCTGGACCTGCCTTTGCCAAAAACTAATCAGCACATCTCCCTATCAATAGGAATCGAATGTTTTTTAAACCATTCAAATCGGTTGATCCGTGCGCCCGAAAACGTGGACGAAAAAACGCGGACATACAAAACACACACACACACACACACACACATCCATTTTTTCTGAAGTATGCCAAAATGTTCAGAAACCTTCAAAACGTCGAGAAATGTAAAAATTTTCAATTCCGATTTTTGGACGATTACTATAACTTACCCTACGGGAAGTTAAAAATTTAATCAGTTCATCATCTTGTCAATACAAGTAAAATGTTTTCTGAATTATTAAAATCGGACGCTCCGATCTCTTAAAAACTGAGTTACCGTTTTTGGCACTTTTCGCCCCGTATCTCCGAAACGGCTAGACCTGCCTTGAGACAATTTACTGTAATCCCTAAGCCTGCCCTATTCATATAATATATTGCACGTTCATTATATTATAAGATAATAGAAAGTATTTGGTTAAACCATGTTCTGACTTTTAATTTATTTAATTAAATTCATTAATAATATTACATTCAATCTTATTCATATTTTGCGCTCAAATAAAATTATATAAAATCCTATTGTTGCCATTAATTTTTCAGTATTCATCGTCGTAATAGAGATAGTAGAAAATATTTTAATTGATTCATAATGATATAAAAAATGTAATCTGATTATATAAATTTTTTTTATTATCTTCCATATGATTAGTCATGAAAAACAATTGATTAATTCAGTTATTAGGTATCATTATTAGATAATCAGACAAAACACAGTTGAGATATTCAAAAATAACATTGTACATGAGTCAAAATTATCATAATAAGATAATTATTTTCTAAATTATTTCAATAACTATATATCACAAACTTATCAATTATCAGCAACTAAACATATTCGCTATTGAAATATTCTGTGAGATTAGGATGATTCCTATGAGAGAAAGAAGTTACAATATAATTTAGTATTTTAAAGAATTGCATTACTATTTTAAGCTTTTAGAATGGAAAAAAGAGTGCGCGTAAGGTGCACGCGT